CAGTCAGTAAGCCATTTAGTCTCTCTGTCATACAGGAACTCACTCAGTTCTCCTTAAAAACTAATTTCTTCTTTTCCCAAACTTTGGAGCAGACCAGGAGGAGATATAAGGCAAGAATGTTTCACTGAATTCAAATAAAAATTTTCTCAAGGAGAGGCTTCATCTTGTAAAAGATTCTGTTTAGTAACACAGTACCTTGCAGAAGTCACACTGTCCACAATCCTCTGTCCTAACACATGCAACACATTCGCCACAAGTTCTCCTTGATCTCTTACGCTCACTCTGCAGGGAACATAAACATTCATCTTGTCAAAATTGTTTCAATTTTTTAGTGTGTTTGAAAAAGATAAAAACAAATGGGAAAAAAAAATGAAACAGACAAATAAAAGAACCTTCAAACAGATCACTTACATCATCTTTTGATGAACTGTGCTGCTTTTCTTTCTTCTCTGAGGGAACTTTGTCTCTCTTCTCAGGTTTCGGTTTTTTGAGCCTGTACTTTATACACAAGTCTGGGTCCTTTTCTGAGGCAAGAAACAGTCAAATAAAAGGGTAAATGCACCTTAAAACGACTGCATTTTTACTTCTAAATTGAAAATATCCACCATTTTGCCTTAGTATAATGGCTGAATGGACAAGGTCATCTCAACCGTTTAACTCCCAGATCAAATTTTTAATTCTCCTTACTGTTAACCATACAATTCTTATAATGTTAGTTCAGAGAATTTAATATCAGATCAATTAATTATCCCCAAATTGATATTTTTCTAAATATTCTCATCACTTGTCTGGTTGATATTATATTGATACCGTAAGGAGAAATTCTGTCTTGGTCACTTATGAGAGTTAAAGGGTTAAACTAAATTAAACCATCACATTAGTACACAAATTCTCTCCACTGTTCTTCACGCATGATGATAGTTATAAGCCAGGAGAACTAGTCTCACAATGAAGAGCCTCTTGAGTTCCTGATCATTTCCTTTATTCTCATGACCTTCGTGTTTGATTCAGGGATAGTACT